AAAATATATTTTTTAAAAATTCTCTCTAAAAAAAAAAAAAAAAGAATAGCTCCTAAATAACCACCAGGTGGGAATGAGTTAGAGAGGACCCTGTCAGAGAAACTGGATTTGGGGGAACAAAATGAGTTGAAGGCGAGGTCACTGAACCTGAGCGAGTGCCTCCAGCTCCCTCTGGTGAGCCACGCTGCCGCCCACCCCGGCAGGACTGCAGGCTCCCGAGCACACGGTGCTGGAGCGCAGGCCAGCTCCTCTCCACTCAGCCAGGGCTCTTGGGCCTAAATGTGTACTTTGGGAACTAGCCCACTTACTATGGCTCTGCTTCCGCTGCCTCTGACTTATGGGTAAAGCTCCTTCTGAAGATGCCGGGAGAACCAGGAGAGGGGATCTGTGGGCCCTGGGCCCAGGGGTCAGTGGAAAGAGGAACCTGAGGGAGGGAGGTAAATCCACATGTGGCAGGACAATAAGAAGCTAGGAAAATTCCTGGGCAAGTGGATGGGGAAAATGAGACAAGAAAATTAAACAAGGCCAAACCATTTGGCCAGCTTGCAGCCGGCTGGTGAATCATGAGACCTTATCTTCCCAACCAAGAACACTGAGAGCAAACGGTTCATGCCCTCTTCCCTGACCAGGGAGTGCATGGCTTAAATCACCCTGCCTGGGAAAATGGCCCAATTAACGCCATGTGTGCCAGCTAAACCCAAGGACAGATGAAGCTGGGGGACAAATAACAAAAACCCCAGACAGACCGACGATAACAGTAAAACAGACCAAACCATAATCCAAAATTCCCCCATGTGCTCATTTTGAGGCATCAGCATATTAACAATGCACCTGGAAAGCTGATGAATATCCTCCTGAAACCCTCCCCTAAGGTTCTCTCCTGCAGAAAAAAATAAGATGAAAATCCCTCAAGACAAAGACTCCTCTAGAGCATGCTCCTTCCTGGGCATGAACATTTTATTTCTTCCGAAACTCTAAGGGTCCCCAAGGGACTTGCAACCAGGGGAGCAGTGGGCAGCAGGAGCTCCACCCAGGTTCACGCCCTGATCCTGTACCCAAGGCTCCCCTTTTCTCTGATTCCCCAGTGAGCTAAGAGCAGCCCTGCTTTGGCTCACTTCTTCCTTATAATGTCTCCAGGGAGCCAGAGCAGAGCACCACTTAGGCTCTCCCCTATTGTTTCTTTCTTTTTTTTTTTTTGTTAATCCTCACCTGAGAATATTTTTTCCATTGATTTTTAGATAGAGTGGGATGGAGGGAGGAAGACAGAGAGACACACTGTCTTGTCTCTCTCACATCAATTGGTTGCCTCCTGAACACACCCCAACCGGGCTCGGGACTGAGCCTTCAACCGAGATACATGCCCTTGACCGGCATGAAACTGGCGACCCTTCAGTCTGAGGGCTGAAGCTCTATCCACTGAGCCAGACCGGCTAGGGCTCCTCTGTTGTTTCTTCTATCCTAAATCCTTCCTCCGTTTCACTGTCTGTCCCCCAACTTTAATAAACATACTCTCAAGCCCACCTGGACTCATGTTGTGAAATCTTTCCTACATAAAGTCGAGAACCCACACACTACAGGCTGGCCTGAGGAGGAACTCAAACCTGCTCCAGGCCAACTGTGAGCTCTCCGGATGTAGACACACACACACACACACACACACACACACACACACACACCAGACAGTCACTGGGAGGAGGAGGAAAAGGGAGGTTACAGCTTCTTCAGGGATAGAATGGGATTGGTGGTAGGAGGTTCTGATCCAACTTGGTGGTTCCATCTCATCTGCACACTGGGACCATCTAGGGAGTTTTACAAACCATCATCAGAGGTTCTGATTGAACTGGCAGGGGCTGTGGTCTTGGAACAGGGTTTTTGTAAAGCTCCCCAATGATCTGAACGTACATCCAGTTCGAGCACCTCTGATCTGCCAGTACTTCCATCCGGGACGCTGCCCACCTGCTCTGGCGCATGAGGTGAGCTGCCAGGAGCGAGGCTGATGGCCTACCTGGCCTAGGAGGTCCTGCCTCACATCATGCGCTGTCTCCTCCACCCCAAGAGTTTCCTTCCAACCAGTTATGTGGTTTGTGGCTTTCTATCTCCCTACAGCTATGTGCAAACATCTTCTCTCCTTATGCAAAGCACTGTCCTCAGTAGCTGGGGTTCTAAAGCAAGACTGCTTGGGTTGGCAAGACCTTGTGCCATGCCCAGGTGCCATGACCTTGGCCAAGTTACTGGCCTTCCCCGTGCCTCAGTTTCCTCGCCTGGGGAGAGTAACAGTATCTGCCTCATAAAGTTATGGGGAGGTTTAAACATGAGCACACTTAAATGCTCACTGAGTATCAGCTGTGTGACTGACCATGCCACCAGCCCCATGAGAACGGGAGGACGCTTTGTCCATCTGTCTCCAGCACAGTGTCTGGCACAGAACAAGCTGCTCAATAAAAAATGGCAGCTGGTGAACGAAGGAACACTTCCCCAAAGCCTACATCCATGTCCATGTCCAGACCCGTGTCTGTGTTCCGAAGTGCCTCTTATACCCTGAATAGGTCCTAGCGAGGCTGAGCTCTGAGATGCAGAGCATGGGGGCTGCTCTCCAGCACTCTGGACAGAGACAGGGACAGGCAGCATTGGCAAATGGGGGAAGGCAGAGAGGGTGTTCCAATCCTGTTTCCCAGTGGCCCCTGCGTACTAATGGTGAAGATCGCACTGTGGAGACCAGTAAGGGCGAGCCAGGGACTCAGGGAGGAGTAAATGTGTAAGGGTCTTAGAGGCAGCCTTGGCTGGCAGAGAGATGCCAGAGGGACAGCTTGTGGCCCAAGGGTGGCCCAGCTATGCAGGCCTCTCCGTGGGGAATGCTGAGGCCTTCTACCTCTCAGGTGAAAGCAAGTGCCCAACCCAACCCCTGGCAGGTGGCAAGGCCTCAGAATGGTTCCCTTCGTGGGTCCAGTGCCCTGTGCACAGACATCTCAGGCCTGAAAGCCCAGTGCTGCCCTCTGGTCTCTGAAAATGTGACTCCACAGCCCCATGCCTGGTGCCCCTTGAGCCTTGTGAGCTTCATTCAGGAAAGGGAGTTGGAGGAAGGTGGTGCTGACAGGGGAGGCGGTGTCCACTCACCCACAATCTCGTTCTCCTCCAGATTGATGGTCTCCAGTGCCGGCAGGGTGGTGAGCTGCTCAGGGAAGTCGTGGAACTGGTTCCGAGACAGGTCGATGGCCTTGAGGTGCTGCAGGGCGCTGACCTCGTTGGGGAGGCGGTGCAGGAAGTTCCCTTCCAGGCGGAGCTCTGCCATGTGGGGGAGGAAGAGAAGGGAGGGTGAGAAGGAAAGCAGCCTGGAGATGCTACCAGCTGCCCAGGCCAGGAAGGCAGCAAGGATGCCCCAGGCCAAAAGGAAGTCCTCCCCACCCAGTCCATGTTTGTTTATGCAAGAGGAGGGGTAACTCCCACCGCTGGCTGGGGGTCATTTCCAGCTGGGCTCCCTGCTTTTGGCTTTGGAATGGAAGGCTCTCCCAACTTTCCATTCTAGAGGGCAGTCAGGTGGTCAGGACCACTGGCTCCTCCTTCAGACCAGGCCTCCACTCCAGGCCTTGATGGGATAGGTCAGGATGGGCAGCCTGGGGCTTCTCACTCCTGCAGCTGACCAAACGAATATGGATGGGCTCCTGCTCTTAGAGCAGCGACTCCAAAAGCTGACCAGCAACCTGCAGGGACCAGGGTGAGGAGGTAAGCGGGCCTGGTGGGAGTCCCTCTGCTGGGAACCTGCCCCAGGCTGGCTGGGATGGTGGAGGCTGAAGCTGAAATTGAAGTGCTGTGTTCTCCAGAGAAGCTGGGTGTCCACAGGGATCGGGGGCAAGGAGAAGGGACGAGAGGCAGAAACCCAGAGCCATGGTGGGAGGTAAGGGAGGTGGCATAACGCAGGCCCTAAGTGTGCTGCTGCACCTGGGGCCCCCACGGCCTGAGTTCACACCCAACTGTGCCATCTACAACTTGTTCGCTCCGTTATCTAACTGCGTTAGGTGTGTCTCCTCACCTGTAGAAAGGGACTAGCAGTGCCCGTCTCATAGGGTTGTTGGAGGATTACATCTGTTAACATGGGAAAAGCACTTGGCTCGGTGCCCAGTACAGAGTACACGTTCATATGTGCTATTGTTATCATCACAGCATAGGCTGCTGTGAAGACTGCGTGTCTGCAAAGTGCTTCGCACAATGTCTGGCACACAGTAGGTGCTCAGTAAACACCAGGGAGGAACCTAAGGAAGCAGAGGAAGCCAGTGGACAGCAGGAGAATGGGAGAGACAGAGCAGCAGAACTGCCATGAGAGCACCCACAGGGGCCTGGAGTTCTGCTGGTTTCCCAGGCTCCGTCCCCAAGTGACCTTATAGAGTCTCTCCTTTGTTAAATGACAGGTGAGCCTTCCCACCTTGTCTGGCAAAAAGGAAACTGAGGCTCAGAAATGCCAAGTGACCTGAAGAATGACCTCAGCTCTTCTCCCCGAGGCTGGCTTCATGGGCCTGTGCCCAGCACAGTCACACAGGGCCCCAGGTGCCTCCTGTTACGTGCTGGTTCCTGGAACAGGCTGCTGTCCTGACCTGGTCAAGCACGTGCAGCAATTCCCCATACCTGGCAGCATCCATGAACTAGTACCTGTGACTGCTCCCCCGCTTTACTGCCCAGAATTCTTTAGGATCCATTCAGTCTCGCAGCCACCTAAGACATGCCTCACACATGAGTTTCCCTTAATAAACTGTTAATTACCAGACCGGAGTGGCCAGCCTCCTTCTTTGGTCTTTCCCTGCCTTCTGCTTACGAAGGTGGATGTCCAGTCTCAGGGCTTTTCCCTGGGTCTGCGTGGACTAACAAAGTCTTAGTAATTTTACCCTTGAGTCTGTGTTTTCTAAGTAGAGCGAAGTCCTGGAGTATCAGCTCATACACTGCGTCCTGACTCCCACCAGCTCCCCAGGCACTCAGGACATGCTGGGCTTCCCCTCTTCACCCCTATCCTGCAACTGTTACAGCCCTCTCTCCCTGGAAGGGGCCTGGGCACAGGCAGGGTCAGCCGGCACACGTGCCCATGGTGTCTTGGGGTAGAGCACAGTGGCATCTGTCCCCTGGTACTCCTTGCCCCGGGGCGGGCAGCACCAACGTGTCTGCTAGGCGGCAGCTGGAGGCTGAGCCTTGGTAGGAGGAAACTTCTTGCTCACCCCGGCCTCAGGTACTGAGCATAACCTGAGGCAGGGGGTTAAAGATCCCTGGGATCCCTGGCTGGACCTTGCCAGGTCCTACGCCTGGCCAGAGTGAAGTGGGGTGGTCTTGCATGTGTGGGAACTGTTAGGCCCGAGGGTATGTGCACGTGTGCCCTTCATCGTGAGGAGTCGGGGGGTACCCTGGGCACTTGTGAGCGGCCGCACTTCCTGTCTTCCTCCTTCCAACCTTCCTGAGTCTGGCTGGAGTTTCCCTCTGGCCACTTGAGGACCCTCTGGAAACAAGCTATGAAATCCAAACGGCATAATTTTATGACCCCATATATGGGTCAAATGCTGATATTTGCATTTAAAACGGGCGTTGTACAATATAAAGAGGAATGGTAAAATTCATACTAATAATTTAAAGTTTCAATATTTTCCTGACTTGGAAGGGCATTAAATAGCAAATGAAAATCACCAAGACACACTAAGAGAGTGGCCACAGAGGCAAGGAAAAGGCTTTTCATGTTCCTTTAACAGTACTTTCCTCCTGCCTGTGAACAGGGTCCTACATTTTCATTTTGCACGGGACCAACCAGTTACATAGCCAGCCCACCTGTCCCTCTGCATCCTCCACGATGCAGCCGGGGTTGTGGGAGATAAAGGGCTCCGAGGTCCCAACAGCTGGTTCCAGGGTTCCGCATTGGAACAGAGCCCTGCGTGAGGGCCCTCTGGACCCACCCGAGTGCCAGCCCCACTGCAGGCACCTGCTCTGCCGTGCTGTCTCTGATCCGATGGGGCTGTATCTGGTTCATCTTTGTTCTCTACACTCAGCAAATATTTGATAAGTGATGACAAGAGGAAAACAGACCTGCCAGTTTGAGGGGACCTGGCTGCCTCTCGTTCCCATTTCAAGGGCATCCTGAACACAAGGCTCGTCAGCAGAGCCACACGAACCCCGAACCCCTCCAGCAGCCAGGTCCTTAGACAGCCACGCCTCAAACCAGAAAACACCCCTGTGCAGGTCATAGGTCCAAGGTCAGCTTTGGAAGGGATGCTGGAGAACATCTAGTCAGTGCTTCGCCAACTCGCCTTTGCCAGACAGCGTTTCCTCCAACACGCTGAGCACACTGCTGCCTGGGTCTTAGTACCTGGAGTTCTCTCTTTCTAGGATACTCTGCTACGTCACTTCATTTGTGTCTTTGCTTGAATGTCACCCTATCTAAAGTAGGATCCTCTCCCATCATTTCCGTCCTCTTCCCCTGCAGTGTTTGTTTTCACGGAGTCCATCATTAACTAACACAGAGAAGAGAGAGGGGGAAAGTGGTGGAAATGAGGCTGGAACCACGTTATGCAAGGCCTCAGCGACCTTGGGAAGGTCAGGGATTTATCTCAGGGAGAGAAGCCATTTTGAGGATGAGGGTGCATGACCTCGTCTAAGATTTTATGTTGATCTTATATCCCAGGAACTTGCTGAGCTAGGAGGGTTGTTTTGTAGATTCCTTGGGGTTTTCTATGTAGATAATTATATCACAAATAAGAGAGTTTTATTTCTTCATTTCCCATCTATATGCCTTAATTTTTTTTCTTACCTTATTGCAGTGGTTAGAACTTTCAAAATGAGGGCAGACATCTTTGCTGTCCTCAATTTTACAGGTAAAGCATTTCATCATCAAGTCTGATGTTAGCTGTGGGATTTTTATAGATGTTCTTTATCAAAATGAGTTATTTCTCCTGTGTTCCTAGTCTGTTGAGTTGTTTTTCTTAAGTCATAAATGGGTGTTGCAGTTTGTCAAATGCTTTTTCTCTGTCAATATATATGATAGATAAATGGCTGATTTTCAAATGTTGAGCCAGCCTTGTACATCTGAAAAAAGTGATAATTACCACTTGGTCATGGCATATAATTCTTTTTATACACTGCTGGGTTTGATTGCTAATATTTTGCTGAGAATTTTTCGTGTCTTAATTAATGTGAGATAGTGGTCTGTAGTTTTCTTTGTAATTTATTTTTGTCTTGTTCACATCTGGATTTGAAATAAAATTAATACTGGCTTTGTTGCTTGGGTTAGAGAGTGTGCCCTTCTCTTCTATTTTATGGAAGAGACTATGCAAAACTGATGTTAATTCTTGTTGACGAGTCTGCTAGACTTCTGTAAAATCTGCACTTAGCGATTTCTTTTTTTTAGGGTCATTGTAGTTATGAATTGAGTTTATTTGATGGTTATAGGGTTTTTCAGATTGGATATTTCATCTTGCTTGAGTTTTGGTAGTTTGTGGTTTTTAAGGAACTGGTTGGTCCATTTCTTTTTAGTTGTCAAAAGCTTATGAATGCAGACTTGTTCATGATAAACCTGGTAGGTTCTGAGGGGAAACCAAACCATGGGACTGCTTGCAGGCCCCCTCACCAGGGAAAGGCAAAAAAGGTAGGTTCCCTGGGATAGATGCTCCCATCCCTGTCAAAGTCCCAGTCTTCACCAACTCCTGGGACTTTATGTCACCTCAGCCTAGGTACTTGAGGTTTTCTCTGTTGTTCCCACTTCAGAGAAGGAACAAAAATGTGGCCAAGAGCCCAGCTACCTGCTCAGCTGATGTGCTGAGCTGCCAACTGAACATGGTTGCAGCCACAGCCAGCTTTGCTTCACACCCCTGGGGGCACAACACATTCCTCTTCATTGTTGGGGTCACAACAATGCCCAGGATCTTGCTACCTTCTCTCTGGGAGGGCTGAGGTGCTCTGGTCCCGGGGGGTGGCATGGGGGGCCTCCAGATGTTTCTTCCCGCTCGCTTACACCAGGCTTCAGAGCCAACCAGCCTCACGATATTCCCTTATTTACTATCTATTAAACTGTGGTTTCGGGTGTCTGTTAAATGGACCTCCCTTCCCCAAGTTCTTCATATTACTTCCGCATCTTCCTTATCTTGGACAACTGCCAAGGCTGACTCAGAAGCCTTAGACTGACCCCAGCGAGAAAGGAGGCCTACTGATTCCATTACGGAACAGATGAGGCTGGCTGGCTGTAACTATGGAGCCAGGCAGGCAAGGGAATGCGCCAACTCCAAAAGTACCCATCCACCGAGGGTCAGTCAGTGCCTTGGGTG